ACGATTCCCAGTATAAATCCCATAGTCACATCCCCAAGATACTCGTCACAACAACTCATCTATATCTCGTCACATAGCACACTTTGTTGGCGCCACAGGACCAATCGCATGGCTATACATGAGGGTCAGCGGATATAGCTCTGAAACGGCCCCGCAGCACCCTGCCCCGTATCGCAACACGGAGGGGTCGATCGCAACCGACCGATGAACCGCAGCTCATCATAGTCTGATCGCAACCAAACAGTAGACCGCAGCCCAAGAGTATGTCATCTGACCGCAGCCAGGAAATATGAACCGCAGCTCATGTAGAAACGTTTGATCGCAACCAAACGGTGGACCGCAGCCCAAGAGTGTAAATCTGACCGCAGCCAGCTTCTGAACCGCAGCTCAGGAATAACCAATCCGATCGCAACCGAATTGGGGTATCATGCACACATAACACATAGCAAGCACATGCAATCCACATTAACACATTGGGAAGGGGGAGAAAACGTATAACAAAACCTATGCGTGATCCTTCACATACTAAGAATAATCCTAAGGGGTTTATACTTCTTTCACCTAGGTCAATGGAATACCAATTGAGCTAGCATGCAATATATAAGACTCATACAACCTACGAACGGTACCCGAAATATCAAACTAGACATAGGCACGATAGACGGAGTCCGTTGGGACACCACGGGGGTCGGGGGACATCAAACGGGGAAGCCAAAATCCCAAGGTGGGGTACAAACCAGCGGGTAGCCGGTGGGTGAGGGGTCACCCGCCGGTGGCACTGTTCCGGGCAGCGGGTGCCCGGCGGGCAGCTGCCCGTTGCCGGCGTTGCCCAAATAGGCCGCGGGTAGGTGGCGGGTCCCCTACCCCCACCTACCCCCCACTGACTCTTTTTCACCAAAAACGCCCCGGGAACCTTTGTGGAACCCGAAACCATGCTTAGACACTTTCAAACGCAATTGATAACACACGTAGATAATTAACGGATCAAAATCAAGAAACATATGGCACATAACCTATCATGCTTTTATAAACATAATAAACACCCAATCATGCGAATTTCCACCCAATATACCAAGAATAATACCATACGGATTCCACGAATAACCTAGGGTTCTAATTATTTTTAAATCAACAAGAACACAATTCATCTTCCAAAATCAAGATTCGGTGGGAATATCATATAACTATCAAGAACCTCATATAATCATTAAGAACATCAAGAACACCATATAATTATCAAGAACGTCATATAATCATCAAGAACACCATAATTATCAAGAACCTCTCATCACCAAGATCACCCATGGAATCATCTCACCAATCATCAATAATAATATCACAAATCATCAATACACAATAATATGGGGAAATCCTAAGGGGGAAATCATAGCTATGAAAATAGGTTTTGTTGAGACATGGGTTACCTTTTAGCCTTAATTAATTCCTTGGCTATGAAGGGTCTTTCTTGAAGCTTTCTTCTTTCTTGATTTCTCCTAGGGGAATTCTTGGAACTTCTTGTGTATCGATTGAGTATCCTTGGCGGATCCCGGTTAAGAGATCTTGGTCGCGCCACTTCACCGCGTGTAAGCGCCCCGCACCTACTCAGGCCTTGAAGACCGCAGCTGCTAGGATCTCCTCCGAGTACTACGAGTTCCTCATCTTCAGGTCGCCTGCCGAGTACGAGGAAGCCCGCCTCGAGCCACCCCGGTATGACGAACCGGAGAAGTATGTCCCCCAACACCTCGAGGTGACGGTGGCAGCGCCACTGGCCGCGCTGGCTCCCGATCAAGAAGGTTTGTAGCCGGGGTCGTTGCACGGTCGACAGGACTTCTTTCCGCTTTTCCCCTCTTTCATTCTTCATAGGGACTAACCGGTCATTACTTCCTTGCAGGTATGAAGCCCGATCGCACTTTCCAGATGGCTCCTTCAGCCGTGAAAGTCCCTCGGCCAAAGGCGGCCCTAGGCGGGAAGAAGGTGGCGACGCCCGACGCGCCCTTGACGGCCGTTCCAGCGACTTCCGTCCCGACCGCGGTTCCGCTCGACACAACCACTCGGGTTGACGAGACGGGTCCGACCCTGAGCAGTGGGTCGGACTTGCAAATTATCAAGGCCACGGGCAAGCGTGGCAAGGAGAAGGTGGGGGAGTCGGAGGGTGCAGTCAAGCGGGCACGCTGCCAGAGTCCTCCGGATTTAACCCCTCTCATGAACTCTCTAACGGGCGGCGACCTTCCGGGCAATCCGCTGGCTAAGATGAGCGCTATATTCCCGGCTGAGGACGACATGGCCGGGTGGACCCCCGAACAGGTTTCTGAGCGCGGGGCGCAAAACCTTGTGCAGGTAAGTTCTTTCTCATCTGGGTTATTCTTAAGTTTATTCGTTCGGCTAACACACTCCCTATCCGTTTGGCTAACACACTCCTTTTCAGCTCACCCGAGTGCTTACATCCCTCTATTACCGCTCGAAGAGTGGGTCGGAGAGCGATGCCCTCAAGAGGGAGGTGAGGGAGCTGCGGAAGAAACTGAAGGCGGCCGAGGACGACAAGGATCTCGCCGAGGTCATCGCCAAGAAGGCAATTGGGGAGTCTGCCGAGGTCCGGAAGGAAGCCGAGGACCTCCGCATGCGGCTACAGGACCCGGTGGGCTTGGCTGCCACCCTCTGTCAAGACCCGGCGGTCGCCGAGCAATTTTTCAAGGCATTCATCAAGCACAAGGTGGCCGAGGACATGGTGTGGGTTTAACTGGGCCTACGCGTCCGGGCAATGAGATACCCACCGGGAGGTGAGGTCTGTACTGTCGGAGGTGTTCGAGGGGGACGACCTCAACACGATCCTTGCCAACCTGCCGGAAAGCGTTGCCGATCCCGGTCCGATGCCCTACACCGAGACGGAAGCCGAGCCCTCTACTGCAGCCGAGAAGGACACTGCGGCCGAGAAGGACCCCGCGAACTGAACCGTCAGTAGCTGACATTCGGGGGTTTTTTTTTTTTTGAATATGAATGTAAACACTGTCCGGGAGCCCGGCCCCGTTGTGCAGGGCATTTTCAAACGCCGTTCAATAACAGGCTTGTGTTGCGTACTTCCATTTGATTTTTGCTTTTATGCTTTTAAGTGTTGTCGTTCCGAGTCTGATCATGGCCCATGCATGGCCCCCCGAGTCCGAGCGGCTATGACGGTCGGTCAATTGTCGGTCGGACTGCAAAGGTGGGAGGCAGACGCGAAAAACGCGTGTATAGCCCCCCGAGTCCTAGCGGCTATGACGGACGGTCAATTGCCGGTCGGACTGCAAATGTAGGGAGGCAGACGCAAAAAACGCGTGTATAGCCCCTCGAGTCCGAGCGGCTACGACGATCGGTCAATTGCCGGTCGGACTGCAAAGGTAGGGAGGCAGACGCAAAAAACGCGTGTATAGCCCCTCGAGTCCGAGCGGCTATGGCGGTCGGTCAATTGCCGGTCGGACTGCAAAGGTAGGGAGGCAGACGCAAAAAACGCGTGTATAGCCCCTCGAGTCCGAGCGGCTATGGCTGTCGGTCAATTGCCGGTCGGACTGCAAAGGTAGGGAGGCAGACGCAAAAAACGCGTGTATAGCCCCCCGAGTCCGAGCGGCTATGACGGTCGGTCAATTGCCAGTCGGACTGCAAAGGTGGGAGGCAGACGCGAAAAACGCGTGTATAGCCCCCCGAGTCCGAGCGGTTATGACGGTCGGTCAATTGCCGGTCGGACTGCAAAGGCGGGAGGCAGACGCGAAAAACGCGTGTATAGCCCCCCGAGTCCGAGCGGCTATGACGGTCGGTCAATTGCCGGTCGGACTGCAAAGGCGGGAGGCAGACGCGAAAAACGCGTGTATAGCCCCCCGAGTCCGAGCGGCTATGACGGTCGGTCAATTGCCGGTCGGACTGCAAAGGCGGGAGGCAGACGCGAAAAATGCGTGTATAGCCTCCCGAGTCCGAGCGGCTATGACGGTCGGTCAATTGCCGGTCGGATTGCAAAGGCGGGAGGCAGACGCGAAAAACGCGTGTATAGCCCCCCCGAGTCCGAGCGGCTATGACGGTCGGTCAATTGCCGGTCGGACTGCAAAGGCAGGAGGCAGACGCGAAAAATGCGTGTATAGCCGCCCGAGTCCGAGCGGCTATGACGGTCGGTCAATTGCCGGTCGGACTGCAAAGGCGGGAGGCAGACGCGAAAAACGCGTGTATAGCCCCCCGAGTTCGAGCGGCTATGACGGTCGGTCAATTGCCGGTCGGACTGCAAAGGCGGGAGGCAGACGCAAAAAACGCGTGTATAGCCCCCCCGAGTCCGAGCGGCTATGACGGTCGGTCAATTGCCGGTCGGACTGCAAAGGTGGGAGGCAGACGCGAAAAACGCGTGTATAGCCGCCCGAGTCCGAGCGGCTATGACGGTCGGTCAATTGCCGGTCGGACTGCAAAGGCGGGAGGCAGATGCGAAAAACGCGTGTATAGCCCCCCGAGTCCGAGCGGCTATGACGGTCGGTCAATTACCGGTCGGGTTACAAAGTTTAAGCGACATTATGGTCGTCGGGCAACAAAAGCCGTAAGTTTAAGCGACATTGTGGTCGTTCGGGCAACAAAGGCTGTAAGTTTAAGCGACATTGTGGTCGTTCGGGCAACAAAGGCCATAAGTGTAAGCGACATTGTGGCCGTTTGGGCAACAAAGGCCGGAAGTTTAAGCGACATTATGGTCGTTTGGGCAACAAAGGCCGGAAGTTTAAGCGACATTGTGGTCGATTGGGCAACAAAGGCCGGAAGTTTAAGCGACATTGTGGTCGTTTGGTCAACAAAGGCCGGAAGTTTAAGCCGGTTCCGGCTGCAGTATGTTGGCGAGATTCTTGCTTGTTGGTGAAGGGACGATTTTCATTGCAGACACCTAAGTAATGACATTACAACATTCGAGCCAACTCATGTGGTCTCGGGAAGAAAAGTACAATACAACAGGTACAAACGGGAAATGAAAGAAAACAGGAAATTACAGCTCCACCTATGACATTCTACTGATGGAACATCACCAAATTCTCTGAGTTCCACGTCCGGTCAACCTGTCTGCCGGTTGTCGTTTCGAGCTTGTAGGTACCCGGGCGTATTACTGCTGACACCACATATAGGCCTTCCCAGTTCTGCGCCAATTTCCCTCCTTCTTGAGGTTGGCTGGCTTCGCGTCTTCTTAGTACGTAGTCCCTGACTTGGAAGTAGTGCGGTCGTACCCGGACGTCCCGAGCAGCTTTGATCCTTTTTTGGTAGTCGGCGATTCTCCTGGCCGCTAGGTCTCTTCTTTCTTCGATACAGTCCAGATCTAAGGATCGGGCTGCATCGTTCTCTCCTTCGACGTATCCACTCTCCCTCGGGCTCGCAATCCATGCTTCTACAGGTAGACGTGCTTCGGCTCCATAGACTAAAGTGAAGGGCGTTTCGCCGGTCGCCTCTCTCGGGGTGGTGCGGTATGTCCACAGGACAAACGGGAGCTCGTTCGCCCATGACCGGCCGGCTGAGTGGAGTTTTTTATTTAGACCCTCTAAGATTGTCCGATTAGCATTTTCCACTTGCCCATTCCCTTGGGGGTATGCTACGGACGACCGGATGGATTTTGTGTCGATCGTCGCTAGGAAGTTTTTGAAGTGTTGGCCCTCGAACTGTCTTCCATTATCTGTAACAATCTGCACCGGCACCCCGAACCTTGAAACCAAGTTTCGCCATATGAAACGGGCACACTGCTGTGACGTGATCGTCGCGAGGGGTTCCGCTTCCACCCACTTGGAGAAATAATCTATCGCGACTATTATAAATTTCCGTCGACCCGATAGTTGGGGAAACGGTCCAACAATGTCTACCCCCCATCGTGCAAAGGGGATGGCTGTGCTGACCGGGTGGTAGAAGGTAGCCGGTCGTCCGGGCATCCTTGCAAATATTTGACAGGTCTCACATTCTTTGGTGAGCTTCTCACAGTCGAGCTGTATCGACGGCCAGTAGTATCCAATCAACATTATCCGCCGAGCTAACGATCGCCCGCCCTGGTGTGACGAGCATATTCCTGCATGAAACTCGTCCATGACTAGCTTGGCTTCAAAGCCGGATAGACATCTCATGAGCGGGCCCCCGTACGACCGTCTATACAGCTGGCCTTCCTGTATCTGGAACCTTGGCACTCGGAGCTTGGCTTTTCGGGCTCTCGCCTCATCATCCGGGAGCCGACCGTCTTCTAAGTATCTCATTATATCGGTTATCCAATTCTCTTCGACCGGTTGGATCGGCAGGACCTGTCGGTGGTCGATGGAAGGGTACTGTACGACGAGGACCCGGGCTACTTGAGAGATGTGCTCGGGTGCTTCCACGCTCAACTTCGAGAGGATATCAGCGTCGGCGTTATCTAGCCGGGGAACATGTTGGACTGCATATGTCCTGAAAGCGGTTAGACGTTCGATCGCTAGGTCTCGGTAGCGCCCTAGTCGTTCGCCATTGACTTCAAAGTCTCCCAAGACCTGCCCGACTACTAGTGACGAGTCCGTTCGAGCCCTTACACTTTCTGCTCCGAGGTCCCTTGCAAACTGCAATCCTGCGACGAAGGCCTCATACTCTGCCTCATTATTTGTGGGAGAGAACTGATAGATCAGGGCGTAGTAGACTTTGAATCCTTCGGGACTTGTGATGACAACACCTCCTCCGGAGCCTTTCCGACTGCTTGATCCGTCGGTGGCGACTTCCCACCATGAAACATCTTGAACCTGCTGATCTGCGGTTGGGGCCTCCCTGGCTGTACATTCAACGACGAAGTCTGCTAGTGCCTGTCCTTTGATAGCCGAGCGAGGCTTGTACTCAATGGCAAACTGTGTTAACATCATAGCCCATTTTACAAGGCGGCCAGAAGAAGAAGCCGTGCGAAGGACGGCTCCGATCGGTTGGTCGGTTAGCACTCGGATGACTCTGCCTTGAAAATAGGGGGTGAGTTTCTTTGAGGTCGTGTAGAGGGCGAGCACCATCTTTTGGAGGCGGGAGTATCTGAGCTCCGGGCCTTGAAGGGCGTGGCTGACATAATATACCGGTCGTTGTACACCGTCGAAATTAGTGCGGCATAGCGCATCGCTCACAGCTCGGTCAGAGGCAGCCAGGTAGAGGTCAAGGTCTTCGCCCGGTTCTGGCTTAGAGAGGACGATCGGAGACATTAAATATTCCTTCAATTCCTTGAATGCCGCTTGGCACTCCTCATCCCACACGAATCCATTGACCTTTCTTAGTGTCTTGAAGAAGGGTAAAGCCTTTTCCGCTAGCTTGGATAGGAATCGATTGAGAGCGGCCAGTCTTCCGGTTAGTTGCTGAACTTCCCGGATTGTGGTGGGTGGTTGCATATCCAAGATAGCATTTACCTTAGCCGGGTTGGGCTCAATTCCCTTCTTCGTCATCATAAACCCCAAAAACTTCCCGGTCTGTACGACAAACGTGCATTTTGCCGGGTTTAGACGCAACCGGTAGGTGCGCATCACCTCAAAACATGCTCGAAGATCCCGGGCGTGGTCCGTCCGGTCTTTACTTTTGACGAGCATATCGTCCACATACGCTTCCATCGTTCGACCGAGCTGTCCTTCGAATAAGGCGTTGATCATCCTCTGATATGTGGCCCCGGCGTTCCGTAGTCCGAACGGCATGACTCTATAGCAGAAGAGCCCGTCCGGAGTTACGAAGGACATTTTGGCTTCATCTTCCTCGGCCATCAAAATCTGATGGTACCCTGTAAATGCGTCCATGAAGCTCATGAGGTCCGCACCAGCCGTGTCATCGACCATTTGGTGTATACTCGGTAGAGGGTATGGGTCTAACGGGCATGCCTTGTTCAGGTCTGTGTAGTCGATGCACATCCGCCATGTTGGTGGTTTGGGTACTAAAACAACATTGGCAACCCAATCGGGATAAACGACCGGGCGGAGATGGCCGATCTCGGTGAGGGTTTTGACTTCACTTTTGACGAATTCCCGGCGGTCATTGGAGAGATGCCTTGTCTTCTGTTTCACCGGTCGTGCTGTCGGACTGACAGCCAATCGGTGGCATATCACTGCCCGGTCTACTCCTGGCATGTCCTCCGGTCCCCATGCAAAGATGTCCGAGAACTCTCTTAGTACGAATAAGACGGCTTCCCTGATCGCCGGGGGGAGCTGCCGCCCAATACGGATCATTCTTTCCGGGCGGTCGGCTTCTACGGGAATCTCTTCGACCTCATCCGATGGTTCCCGCTGTTATTTCCTTTCAGCTTCCGCTTTCTTGGAGATTGAGTTTACTTGGGAGTTCCAGGCCTCCTTTCTGCCGGTTGCCTTTTGGTAGCACTTCTGGGCTGATCGAACGTCTCCTCGGACAACCCCTACTCCTTCGGGGGTCGGGAATTTCATGCATAAATGAGGCGTGGAGATAATTCCTCCGATCGATACAATCGCCGGTCTCCCTAAGATAGCGTTGTGGACGCATCGAAGGTTGACGACGATGAATTCCATCATGGTTTTGATCGTCCGGGGTCGGCTGCCCATTTCTACCGGCAATGTTATCTTTCCCTCCGGATGGATAGTATCACCAGTGAATCCAGATAAGGGAGTCCCGATGGGTGTTAACTCGATCGGTTCTAACTTTAGCTTCTGGAAGACGTCCATGTACAAGACATTCACGCTGCTGCCCGTGTCCACCATGACACGTTGGACGTCGATCCCCATAATGTCTATTGTGACGACTAATGCTTCAGTGTTGCAATCCTCTCCCTCGGGCATATCGCTCGGGGTAAACGTGATTGGTTCTATCTTTTGTCTCTTCTCATTAGGCTCTGATCCTATCAGTCCGATTTGGAGTTTCTCCCGGGCATTGGAACTTCCCTCCGGGCCACCAAATATGACGTGGATGACCTGTTTTCCAGTCGACTGTCGGGGCTCGGTGTCCCGGTCGTGATCTTTGTCTTTTTTGTTATTATTCGATTTTTTGAACGGGTTTTTCCAAGACGATTTTTTCTCGTCCTTTTTGTTGGTGAACTCAGTGAGCTTTCCCGATCGTAACAACTCCTCTATGACTTGCCTAAGGGTCGTGCAGTCTTCCGTTTCATGCCCTTTGCTGCGATTGTACGCGCAATACTTTGTCTTGTCGCGACCCTCGCGCTGCGGTTCCGGCAGCTGGATCATGTTGCAGGACTGGGCAAATCGAAGGACATCGACTGCCGGTCTGTTCAAGGGGGTAAAGTCGGGTACTCTTCCTCGCCCTCGGCCGGATCTGCCATCCGACCTCCCGTCCTCCTGTCGGCCCTGCGGTTTTCGGCTGCTACCGGCCTCTTGTTGGCGCTTGGCGAAATTGGCTTCACCAGCATTAGCGTAGTCAGTTACCCTTTGGATTGCCTCATCGTAGGTAGTTGGAGGGTGTAGGATGAATTCCTGGTATAGGGCCCCAGCACGCAAGTTGGAATGCAACACGTTGGTCGCTGTCCGGTCGTCGAGGGGTTCGACCTCGCCGATCGCTGCCTTCCATTTGACGAGGAAGTCCGTCAGAGACTCGCCTTCCAGTTTTTTGGCCTTTTCCAGGTAGGTGAAGTGCTTCCGGACTACTTTGGAGGTGGCGAATTTGTGCACGAAACTTTTCGCCAACTCCGCAAAACAGGCAATCGAACCGGGCTCCAATGTTTTGAACCAGTCTACTGCCCTCCCTGTCAAGGTTGAATAAAACGCTCGACACATTACTGCATCGGTTACTCCCATCATCAGCATGTTTCCATAGTAGGAGTTAATGTGTTCTTCCGGGTCGGTTTTTCCGTCGTAGCCTTTACTCCCCGGTATTCGCAAGTCGTGAGGGTAGGGGAGGCTCATTATATCTGCCGTGAAGGGGTTGCGCAGTAGGGGCGCTTCAGGTTCGGACGACCGGTGGCCATGCTCACGCCTCCATCTACTAAATTCCTCCCGGACTTGCTGCAATAGACCCTTAGCTTCGTTCTGCGGATCCTCTCGGTCAGCAGCCCGTCGAGCCATTCTCCTAGACCGGCAGCTGCTGACCTCTCCGGACGCTTCTTGTCGGGGCACTGGGAGGTTTACAGATTCCTCCACATCTTGCTGGGCTCCGACTCGCTAATGTACAGACGGCTGGAGACGAACGAAAGCGCTCACGCGCGCGGGGACTTCTTCAGCACCCCGCTCGTGAGCTGCTCCGGGTCCTAGCCTCGACCGGGCAGGCCGACGCTCGGACTGGGCTCGGCGGAGCTCTGGTGCCGCTGCTGACGCTGACGCTACTGACTGGCCCGGCTCGGGCACATTCGACATTGGCATCGGCACGTTCGGCACGGGCATGGGCATGTAGGGTTGATAGGCGCCCGGGCCTGGTGGGTATTGGTATTGGGCTCCGAAGAAGCGTTGTGGGCTTTGCCAATACGGGTACGCCGGATCAAACATCTCGGGTGCATACATTGGGTATTGGAGTGGCATTTGTCCGGGGATGCCGGGGAATGCTACTCCTGGCTAGATGAAGTTAACCGGGTCCGGGGTCATCTCCCTGCCCGGTGGTGTATTGAGGTCCATCCGCGGATTCATCTGTGATCGGAGGTCCGATGAGCTCTCTTCGGCTTTCGCATCGTTATTGAAGTCCATGAATGGAAACATTTTCAGGATCGGTCTGGTGTTTGCCGAGCGGCTTTCAGTTTGATCCCCACAGACGGCGCCAAATGATACTGTTTATACAGAGTGGTATACTTATATGGTTATGAGCAAAGCTTAGATCTCTCCCGTGGGTCGGGAAGCTCCAGTCTTGCCCCGTCCAAAGTCCCTTTCACAGAGCATTTAATGCGCTATTTATAGGGTCCAAAAGTGGGTGGCGCCGGGCCTCCGGCATGTTGGACACGTGGTGAGCATGCACCAGGTGTTACCTGTGGCCGTGTGGCCGCCTGCCACGCGGCGCCTAGGATCTGACTCCTTTTCCTTCAGCCGAGCCTTACCAACCGGCCTCCGGCCAGCATCACTCGGCGGGCCGACCGCCTCTCGGAGGTTTCCCGGAGGCACCTCTCTGCCCGGGGCATTGCCAAGTTTTTCCCGGTCGCTCCCGCTCGGGGTGGGCCAAATGACTCAGCTGCGAGGGTCGGGTAGCGACCCGGTCCTGGGACACTCGGATCTCGGGCGTACATCCTAGACCCCGGGCGTATATCCCTATCAATAGTAATGCACGCAAGCATACTTAGGCCTTGAGGCGGATAATCAGTTTTTAATTTATTAGTATAAAACCCCTCTTGACCCTATCAGAACAAAAACTAAAAACCAAAAACTATTAGTCTCTTCACACCAAAATACATTGACAGCAATGTTCAAACTACTAAATGACTATCTACTCCTTCAACATGTCTCAACCACCCCTGCAATCAACTACATCCTAAAGGTGTAAACGATGGAATATAACCTCCAAATCCAATTGACCTGCAAAAAAAAAAAAAAAAAAAGTCAAAAAATATATAGTAGTGCAATTGTAGCTGTTTTTATTGGAAAAGATCCTGCAAATCCAATCTAAGTAGTTCCCTGTTTATAAAAATTATTAGTAAAGAAGCGGTTTTTATTTCTAAGCATGTTGTCAGCATTCTGAAAAAAAAATACCATGTGCTTTCAGTATTTTGGAAATTAAACATCTCAAAAATGAAAACATACCTCTGAGTCATGGAATATGACTTCTTGACATTTGATTGATCTTTCCGTTCTGGGTATCTGGTATGTATGGAGAACTCGGACTCGAATTGCACTCCTGTATTCTATGGTGAGATTTCACGCCCAAGCATGTAGAGGCAATACATTAGAACTGAGTTCTTGTGCAGTTGTAGTCGAAGCATTCATTACTGAAAATTATGGAATTTCTGACCACCTAAAAGTGATCTTAAATCAAGTCGTAAGCCTTGTTCCCACCACTTTTGGTATCCGGAAAAACCTTTGTTGCTATTTCCGACCACTTTTTTCTTTCAACTTGATTTAAGATCACTTTCAGGTGGTCGAAAATTCCATAATTTCCAGCAGTGATTGTTGTATTCCTGTAGATGATTGCAATTCTGATGTTGAATTATAGTTGAGGAGTTTGTATTTGAAACAAAGTGGTGTATTTATAAGTAGGTTTAACACGAAGAAAGAAGAGAGTCGAATTGAAAAAAGGAACTGTTACATTGACTATTTTGAACTTCTGTTTACAACAACAACACCAGCCCTTCCTATCTTGTCTATATAGCTTTCTAATAGGAGGGAACTAACTAACAGATTTACAAAACTGCTTCTTAACTAACTAAACTAAATCTTTAATCAGTTACTGTCCCTAATACCCCCCCCCCCCCCCTCCGCAAGCTGGAGTGTATATGGAATGAATCCCCAGCTTGGAGACAAACTTTTGAAAGGGCAAAGGTTGTAGAGGTTTGGTTAGGATATCAGCACTCTGATTGTCAGTAGAGATGTGGAGCAGCTGGATGATGCCTTTTTGAATCTTTTCCCTTATGAGATGACAATCAATTTCTACATGTTTTGTGCGTTCGTGGAAAACCGAATTTTCAGCAATAGCTATTGCTGACTTGCTGTCAGAGTACAACACAGCTGGTCTTTCTAGTTTTACTTCCAATATCTCAAGTAAGAAAGTCAACCACTGAATTTCACAAGCAGCAACAGCCATGGCTCTGTATTCTGCTTTTGAGGATGATCTGGAAATTGTGCCTTGTTTCTTTGACTTCCAAGAGATCAAAGCATCCCCTAAGAACATACAGAAGCCAGTTACAGAACGTCGAGTGTCAGGGCAGGCAGCCCAATCTGAATCAGCAAATCCTCTTAGTTTGAGAGTGGATGTGGCTAGAAAGAACAATCCTTGGTCTGGGCAGCTCTTGACATACCTCAATACTCTATGAACTGCTTGCATATGAACAGTGGTAGGCTTGTCTAGGAATTGAGATAATTGTTGGACAGCAAAGCATATGTCTGGCCTTGTAATGGTAAAATATAGTAGTTTTCCTAACTAGTTTTCTGTACTGACTGTTATCCTCCAATGGTGTGCCAATGTCTAGGCTCAGTTTTGTTGACTGCAACATGGAAGCTTTCATGGGCTTGCTGGTTAGAAAACCTGTTTCTGATAGCAAGTCAAGAGCATACTTTCTCTGGTTGATAGCAATCCCTTTATGTGTCCTTGCAACTTCAAGAACTAGGAAGAACTTTAAGTTCCCTAAGTCTTTGATCTAAAATGTAGAGTGTAGATGATTTTTGATCTGTTGAATTTGGTTCCCATCACTGCTTGCCAGTATAACATCATCCACATACACAAGTAATGCCACAAACTTAGTACCAGTGCCCCTTGTGAACAAAGAATTATCACACATAACTTGTTTAAATCCCAAAGTAGTCAACTCATTTGTAAGCTTTGAGTTCCATTGCATGCTAGCTTGTTTTAGCCTATAAAGGGATTTGGTTAACCTGCCATGGGTATTGTGCAGTAAAACCTGGAGGAAGATGCATATATACCTCTTCATGAAGATCACCATGGAGGAAAGCATTATTAACATCTAGTTGATGTAATTCCCATCCTTTTGCAGCTGCAACAGCAAGAAGGGTTCTTATAGAAGTAAATTTTGCAACTGGATTGAAAGTATCAATGTAGTCCAATCCACAAGTTTGAGTGTAGCCTTTTGCCACTAGTCTAGCTTTACATCTCTCCACTGTCCCATCTGATTTATGCTTGACTTTGTATACCCACTTACATCCTATGGCTTGCTTGGTGGGAGGAAGATTTGTAAATTCCCAAGTATTGTTGGTCTGGAGGGCATCTATTTCTGCTTGCATAGCCAACTTCCAGCAATCATGCTGAATAGCCACATTGTAGGATTTAGGCTCTACTGCATTTAGAACATTCAAAGAGAAAGCTTTAAATCTTGGTGAAAGCTTGTCATAGGATAACACAGTAGATAGGATATGAGGAGATGTCCTTGTTTTGGGAAATTCGCAGTCATAATCTTGAAGGTAGTGTGGTCTAGACACCTGCCTGGTGGAACTCCTGACTTGCTGTGGTTGTGTTTCAGCTTGGCTCTCATTTACAATAAGTTGATTGTGATCTGTTGGGAGGGCATCAGACCTGTGATATGCTATAAAGTCATCAGGTTGGGAATATGCAGTTTGGTTGCTTAGGATGTGTTTTGGTAAAGGGTCATCTGTTAGATGTGGGGCAATTGGCAAAATGGAAACTGATCTGGTTATCTGAGTGTCTGAAGCATGCTGTGAGCCATGGGGGAAAACTTTTTCATAAAATATCACATCCCTAGACACAAATACTTCCCTTGTTTGCATATCATACATCTTATATCCCTTCACTCCATTAGGATATCCCAAGAACATGCATTTTCTGGCTCTTGGGGCAAATTTGGGTTTATATCCATTGAGATTAACAGCATAGGCCAAGCAACCAAAGGTCTTAAGGTGGCTGAACATATGAGGTTTTCCAAAAAGAATCTGATGTGGTATCCTTCCTTCCAAAACATCTGAAGGCAGTCTATTGATGATATAGACTGCTTGTAGGATACAGTCACCCCAAAAACATTCAGTTAGCCCTGCTTGAAATCTTAAGGCCCTTGCAACACATAAAATATGCCCATGTTTCCTCTCTACCACACTGTTTTGTTGTGGAGTGTAGGCACATAAGGTTTGATGGATGATTCCTTTTCTTGGTAAAACTTAGCCATTCTAAATTCCTACCCATTGTCTGTTCTGATACACTTAATGTCCTTCCCAAATTGTGTGGAGATTAGAGCACAAAACCCTTGAATGAGATCCCTGACTTCATACTTGCCCCTCATCATAAATACTCGAGTTAGCCTACTGTAGTCATCTACAATAGTCAAAAAATATTGATGGCCATATATGGTTTTCACACTATATGGTCCCCAAATGTCAGCATGAACAAGATCAAAACATGCAATAGAAGCAGTAGTACTCACTGGAAATGGTAATCTTTTTTGCTTTGCCAAATGACATATATCACAAGGGATCTCTTTATTTGATTTAACATCAGAATTCAACAATTTTAGCATTCTCATTTTAGAGTAAGAGGTGTGCCCTAATCTCATATGCCACAACCTACTACTAGTATTACAAACATTGACTCTTATACTCTGTGACCTTTCTAGTGAAACAAAAAACTCAGGCTGCATCAAGTGGTACAAACCCCTTTCCAACTTAGCCATTCCAATCATCTTCCCAACTTGATCCTGTATGATGCATGTATCAGAATATAACAACAATTGACATTTGGAACTTCTGATCAGCTCACTGACTGATACCAAATTATAATGGAATTCAGGCACACAAAATACATTCTGCAAAATGAGTTCATTTGACACAAGGATTGTTCCTATGTGTGTGATGGCAGTTTTACTGCCATTAGGGAGCTCAACATACATCCCTTGGGCTTTCTTGACTTCTGTCATCCTGTGGTGACTACAAACAATGTGATGGGTAGCCCCACTATCCAAGATCCATGGTATTTTACTATGATTAGGAGGTGATAGAAGGGTACCTTCAAGTTGAGCATTAGGGACAAAGTTTGCAGAGATTATGTTGGCCTGTGGTTGAGATGTAATTCCCATATCCAATGGTGAGTTCTGAGTGGTGTTCTCTTTCTGCAGCAGCTGTTTGAGCATCATGTACTCACTTTGAGATAGTGAGATGGTGTCTTCTGCAGGAGTTTGATTGGCTAGTTGAACCTGATTGGCTGCCCCTGCATTCCTACTTCTTGGCCTCCAACCGGGAGGGTACCCATGTTTTTTGTAACATTTTTCAGCTGTGTGTCCATTAAATCCACAATGAGTGCAAACAGGTTTCTTGTTCCCATTAGAATAGAACTTTTTAGAACCTGAATTACCACTTGTTGCTTGACTCAAGAACACGCTCTCTGCATTTTGATTGTCTGTTGGCTGGGCTAAAGAGCCTAAAATCCCATTGTTGAGTCTCCTCTCCTGCTGTTGAATTATCAAGAAGGCTTCATCAAAAGTGGGTAGGGGTTTCATCATCATAATTTGTGATTGAATAGAAACATAGCTATCATTGAATCCTCTCAAGAAAATGGATAGATTGTCACTATCAAGGTAGAGTTGCAATTTCTCTAGTAATCCACAATTGCATCTCCGTGCACAACTGCAAGTGGGCAATGGTCTTATGACCTACAACTCATCCCATAGAACCTTCAATTTTGCAAAGTATGCTCCTACGCTGAGGTCTCCCTGTCGAATTTGATGAATCTCGGCGTGCAGGTCTGAGATTCGAAATATGTCAGTCTCACTAAATCGAGACTTCAATGTCTTACAAATTCTTTCTGCAGTTCCTACTCAGAGGATGGTCTGTGCAATTTCGGAAGAAAGGAAGCGCATCAACCAAGTTGATACCATGTTATTGCACCTCTTCCAGTAAGGAAACTTGACATCATTGATATCCGGCACTGCTATGGTTCCATCTACAAACCCTAGCTTGTTCTTCGAGAGCAAAGTCATTTCAATCGCCCTGTCCCAGGAATGGTTAATTCCGCCCATCAAGAACTGCAGAGACTAGAATCAAGGAGGGATTCTCATTCGGATGCAGGAAGAATGGGCTTGCTAGATCATTTGGATCAAAGGGTGTATTGATCCGAGGAGCTGTCGCAGTGGGGGCTGTCGTTGTCCGAGCCGGATGAACCTCCTGAGGTCTATTCGCGCTTGTGTTTCCAGTCCAAGCCATAATCCTCATGGCTCTGATACCATAACACGAAGAAAGAAGAGAGTCGAATTCAAAAAAAGGAACTGCTACATTGACTGTTTTGAACTTCTGTTTACAACAACACCCGCCCTTCCTATCTTGTCTATATAGCTTTCTAATATGAGGGAACTAACTAACGGATTTACAAAACTGCTTCTTAACTAACTAAACTGAATCTTTAATCAGTTTCTGCCCCTAATAAGGTTAAACACTTTAATTGTTAACCTTTACATTGGTAATGCCAATCGTTCTCTGGAAATTGAAATCGTTTATGGGAAATGCCAAGTGGCTGAATAGTACTTCCATATTAATCAGATTTGAGTTGAACTTTGGGAATATAAACCATTACCATATTAAATGAATAATAAACAATACTGACCGTGAATCTCTTCTTTTCTCTTCCTAATTAAACGGGAAGTTTATTCCTATTTTTATTTTCCAAAAAGCTTCTGCTTTATTATTGTAACACCCCCGATTTTTCATGCCATTTTAAAACTTAAATACGTAAGGTAAGGTAACTAACATATATCATAAAACGTAAGAACATTGGAAGTCTAATATAAAAACATGGAAAGACCAAGGAGTGTTATCCCACATTCACCCCAACGTGAATGCACAGGCAATTATAAAACCATCAATCTATTTTATCAAACAACTGTGGCACACATGACAAAACACTAGCTACATTGTTCAAGGGAGCTAAACTACCAACGGCTAACGCTCTCGCCATGTCTACTCAGGACCTGTAAAGCACATAAAGAAAGGGGACGACGCCCGGTCAGCGAATATTGCTGGTAACCCATCAATACGCGTTAAGTAGCATATATAGATAGTATAATACAAAATCATTTTCGAAACGGAATACAGTATATATTAGTTCAAAGCCATAGAGAGAAGTCAACTGCAAAGACTCTATTTCACTCTAAAAAAAAACAAGGGAAATCAACATCCCAAGACACATCAAGACAAGAACAACAACAGTACAACTCAAACACGGATCAAGATGTAATCTACTGATCACAAAGTAGAAAACATCAAGATAAGGACAACAACAGTACAAGTACAATTCGAGGTGTATTCTACTGATCACAAAGTAGAATACCACTCGACATGCTCATCAGAAAAGGATAGACAATCACACATTGGCAACTACATGCCACAGTGACACTTCATGTCACAAGTTCCAACCTTATGGCTACCCCCGGCCTTATTACAGTTCCAACCATTACCTTCGAGAACCCCTGTACTTCTGAGTCCAACCTTATGCCTCTGGGAACCGTCGTTCCCCCGTCAACGATTTCCAACATTTCCGCCAACACATAGTACACGAGGGTACCGTTCATTTCAATCACACAACCGCCAGCATATGAGCCTGAAGCCCAGATTACAACTCCAATATCATTTCATGGCCACCACAAGGACCACATATGTACATTGGTGATTAATGTCCCATACCATTAACCGTGCAATCCAGGTACAGCCAATACACACACATCATCACAGGAATCAATCAATGGATCACAATAAAGATATGAAACCATACTCAACAAGGAACGATTACAATCTGACTCCAACGATGATCAACACAAGTTATCATCCACAGTAGGAAAGAACAAACCACACACACTAGCATTTCAACATCAAACTAGCATGCTTATCAAGCGGGTAAACAAAACATAGTTCCAAAGAACATACAAGACTCATCATGGTTCAACGAATCACAAGGTTGAACACTTAGCACGATTCAAGACACCAAATCCTACATGGATTCCTACCATACGTTCTAGACATACAAAACATCAAGAAGACACTCAAATAGCCCAACAAAACAACATCGGGAAGTCAAAACATCAATTACCGAGTCAAAAGAATCACGGGGAACAAATCCCCAAAGCAACCCATATTTGTTCCCCGCGGGTGGGGCCACGGGTGGACAACCACCCGCGGGTACGAGGCCACACCTCGCTTGTACCCCACGGGTGGGGTGGCGGGTAGGCCACTGCCCGCCGTTCCGCCCGCGGGTACCGACCTTGTACCAAAATAATCCCTTCGGGGATTTTCAACACCAAGTCCAAATTCAAGTCCAAAACACCCAAAATCTCACAAAATACAACAATATGACTTGAATCAAAGAAATAGACAAGCAATGGCATACAAGAACCCTAATAACAAGCTCTAGATATGCATTCCCACAAGACAATGCATCAAATCTCACATTTCATAGCAAAAATCACAAGTAGAAGTCAAGAAATCATCATATAGGTAAGAAAATAGATTTTGTAAAGCATAGGTTACCTCTTGTAGCCTACAACTTCACTTATCACACCCTTACAAGCTTCTATTAAGGTTCTTCTTCAACTTCAACTTCATAAACACACCAAAAGACAACAAAGATACCACCTTTAGAAAAAAGACACCTAAAAAGGTACTAAAAACACTAAATGACCAAGGATCTTACCATCCTATATGCTCAAGCTTAAGAAATTTCGAATCTTGGAGACCAACTTGAAGAATCTTGGATTGCCCAAACTTGGCTTGAAGAAGAAGCTAACAATTTTCTAGAGAGTAGGAGGAGCTTTTGTGTTTAGGGTGTTAGGGAAAGAAATGAAAGATGACTCTAGGTTAGCTTGGGACACAAACATAAGGTGAAAAGTCTTCTTTACCCTTACTAAAGTGGGAAGTGTAAGGATACAAGGGAACAATTCATAAAGCATAGAGTACAACCCATTGACTTGGATTGACTAGTCAATTTCTAGTCCTCCGACTATTGAATTTTCAGGATTTTAGGAATAAATTATCAATTAAGCTAGGATTAATTATCTAATTAATCCTTAAATAGAATTTGGATTTACAGGGTGTCACAATTATAATAGAGGATTCAACAATATTATTGGTACTACAATCTATCGATACTGTTATTTAAAACAAGAGTAAAAGACATTTTTGGTCCTAGACTTATAGTGGCTTGGACAATTTTAGTCTTTTATAAAAAAATTTGCCATTTTATGGACAGAGTTATTGTGGCGAGGACATTTTTGGTCCTCCGTCTATATTTCTGTTAGATAACCGTATGAGAGAGGGGCAATTACGTCAATTTAGGCTATCTCTTTATTGTGAGATGGACGATTTTGGTCCCACAACCATACCTTTACTCTGACCCTCATTTATTTGTAGTTTTGCACTACGAAATGCTCTGCCCACAATCATGCCTTTACTGCAACTTGGACTCTCCGACTCCTTCGAATTATGACCGAGAAGAAAACAAAACACACATAGATATAATAGATAGAAGGAGATAGCCTAAATTGACGTAATTACCCCTCTCTCAGACGGTTATCTAACAAAAATATAGACGGAGGACCAAAAATGTCCTCGCCACAATAACTCTGTCCATAAAATGACAAATTTTTTTATAAAGGACTAAAATTGTCCAAGCCACTATAAGTCTAGGACCAAAAATGTCTTTTACTCTTAAAACAAAATCTCCTTCCTTGCATTCACCGTTGCTTCTTTTCCTTTTTCCAACAAGCTAAGAAGCCACCGTTCATCTTGAAGAATTTTTTCAATTGTTCTCATTCTGAACATGCCTACGTTTAAGCCAGAAAGCAATGAGCACAAGGAATAGAACACCTATGCTCACTCCAACACCTGATTGTGGAAAAATTATGTCATTTAATTCAATAATAATTTTGGATTAAAGATAGATAGATAGATAAATATACATACTATATATCGTTGTGGCTTCTAAATTTTAATATTTATTTATTTGTATCCATACCTAAACAAATGATCTTGATCAAAATATGCATTTCATGTGGATCACCGGATTCATCGGAACGAGTGATGTAGCCTTGTCCACAAATGCAATGGTAGCTGCCTGGAATATTTACACAATCTGCATCCTTTGTGCACTTGTTTTCCTTTTGGTCTTGACACACGTTAATAACTTAAGAATCAGCCAAAAGATAACCATTACTAATTAATTTCTCAATTAAATTAAATGATATGACAAGCTAGCTTCTACACTATCTTTGGGTGATAAAGGAAACTCACAACGGCTATCTAGTGATGTTTATATGTACGTACATGTTTGTTAGTTATGCATATTTTATGATAAATGTATGTAACCATTCAAATGTATATAAATATTTAATATACTACTGTAGCTATGAAGTATGTTTGTGCGGTATATATATATATATATATATATATATATATATATATATATATATAGAGGATTATATTCAAATACAAACCGTCCTTAAAATACAAACGTGTGGATTGATTAGAATCATTAGATTTTGGAATTGGATGGAAAAAGATTGATTTAATTATTAATGAGAATTTTAATTCACTATGCGCCTGTTTTTACGTTAGGAGGGGTAATTTTGGGTTTTTACTATTGTTTTAATAGGATCAAATTCTAGGAATTCGATAACGCACATCGGTTAGGATTCCTTTCCTGATCTCTCTCTGTGTACCGTACGTTGGATGAAGGCTCTCCCACGCCGTTCCATTCGTCTTCTTCATCATCAGTGGACGATGGTCGTCGGTGGGGGCTGCAATGGAGCCAAGCGCCGGGGATCACCAACTCAGGGTGTAGGTCGAGGTATTTGTTTTCCCCATTTTGTCATTTTTGAGTTTTTTGATTGTTTTTATCCTTTGTGTTGCGGTGACCGTTTGTTGGGGGTGGTTATGGATGTGTGTTTCCATCTTAGGCGAGTTGTGTGTGTGTGTGGGGGGGGGGGGGGTGGGGAGGGAGGGGTGGTGGTGGTTCATTGGTCGGACGGCAGGGGTTCCCGTGTTAGTCACGATTTTGGGAATTTTGCCAGTTTAGGGTGTTCGTCTTTGGGATTCTGGTTTTTTTTTTTCTTCTTCTTCCTTCAATTGTTTTTTTCTGTGCTCTGGTTTGGGGGTCTTTTTCTCCAAACGGGTAGTGCATTTTGATGGTTTGTTTTGACAGTTTAGGGTTTTAGTCTTTGGGTTTTTGGTCTGTTTTTTTTTTCTTCAGTTATTTTTTGTTGCGCGCCGGTTAGGGGTTCTTTTTCTCCAAATGGGTAGTGCATTTTGATGGTTTATTAGCTTTGCATTTGATTTTGTACATTCTGTAATTTTTTATTGCGTTTCATGTAAATTAGAGATGGAGTGGTACTTTTTGTGGTTTGTTGCTATTTTTTTTTTTTTTAATAATTAGTTGATTCTTTGTTTATAATAGTAGTTAGTGTTGTGAAACTTGTGAACACTAATAGCCTCACGCTGGTGGCCATTTCTTTTACTGTCAACAACAATACTAAATTAGCAAATACTAAATCTATGCTTAACCAAATAATTCACCTAATCTGAACCTCTTAGTCACTTTTTTTTTTTTTTTTTTTTTTTTTTTGTAGGAAACCTGTTAGTCACTAATCCTTCTTTATTATTAATTTCAAGACATGCATCTTTTATAGGACAAATGCATTCTATGCATCATATATGATATATGCATATTTAAGTTTAGGAATTGAAACTGCTTCTCATGCATTCCTTGGTGGGTGCATTTGTTTGTGCGAATGTGTGCACTTTATGTTCTTCGAAAGTGCATGTTGGGGTTCAGATATGTGCAATCATGTTTTTTGCTGAATTATATGTTTTTTTTGGGGGTTTTTTTGTCATTTTTTCTTCGGTGATTTCAGGTAAGAAGTCTAAGGTATTACATTCTGAACCTGGTGGATCACCAATCGCCGAGTTGTGATAGTGATGATGATTTTGTTTCTCCACCTTTGGCGTTCCTTGCAAGGCTCCAACAAGACCCGTTGTGGAATGCCCCCGACTATGAGCTTAGTGCCCATTTCAGCTACAATCTTTCCCCACTTTAGTGTGGATTTTTTGGCTGCCACACCCTTTTATAACCACATTATATAATTTTGCTCAGACTTAGAGTTTGTTACATGCCCGTGTTCAGAATAATAATTTTTGGTGTGTTATTCTTTATTAGTTCCTTAGCTCTACACTTATCAAGTATTCCCATTTTTTAGAGTTGGATCATAAGTGCTCAATGTTCAGTACGCGTGTGCTCGTATCCCCGTGTGTGTCCTCGGGTTAATTTTTTTCCTTTGCAGTTGATGTTTGTGTTAGCAAACTGTGTGCACACCGTATCTTTTTTATTTGCACACTATTCGTTAAATTGTGTGCAAGAGCATATGGAACTATGTGCACCAAATTAAATTAAGGGCAAATAATGTGAGGTTTCAACCCGCGGTGGGATATGTGTGCATACATGTGCAGATATTTATGTAGTGCAGCGATAAATCATTTAATATATTCATAGTCCGACATGCATTATGTCTGAACTTAGTGGGTGTGCACTGGCTGAATCCCAGTCTTGCACACATGTGATCCCCTATTTCACAGTGTGCACAATCTCGGAAAACTGTATGCACTTCTTTTATAAACACGTGTATGGTTTCCACATAAAAATAAACATAATTGGTGACCACATTTACATAAGACTTAAATTATCTCAATTTAAACTATTGCAAATGTAATAATTATTAGTCGTGTACACACAAGTATGCTCATGTATGCACGTGAGTTCATCTCTACTGGAACCCCTAGGTTAATTACCATTTATGAAAATCAATGCACACAACTACCTACGCTTACGCACACAGTATAATGTGGTGTTACATGTGTGCACATATGGATATGAATGGGTGCACTGCCAGTTACTGTGGTATGCCTCTTTCCCCTACGCATCTCACAATGTTGAATGGTGAAGCATCTTAGCCTCATTATTCCCGTTCTAGAGGTGCAAACTGGCTGACCTCCCACATACCCCCCCCCCCCTCCCCATTCCTCACCCCCCATGTTTGTTTTTCCATCCCATTTTCCATATATCACGGTAAACGAATAATTTATTTGTTAAAGTGTATACAATAACACATCGCAACAACGGTGATAAACAGTCTGAATTGCTTACCTGATTCCATCATTTTTTTGCTTCACTATTAAACGTTTATCGCAGTCTTTTGTTAAAGCATACATGAAACTCCAATAAACTAGCCGTGCACACACTATAAAAACATAATGACACAATACTATACAAGCATTTTCAGAACTAAGTGTGTTCTTCTGTAGAACTATCCGTGCACACACCTAAAAATTAATGCGCACACACAGTACACCAAGCTTGTTCATAAAATATCAACCTCTTCTGTAGAGCTTGCCGTGCACACACCTAAAAACTAATGCGCACACACAGTACACCATGCTTGTTCATAAAATATCAAAAGCCGTAGAATTCCGTTCGTCTAGGGTGTTTGCGTGGGGTGGTTTTCCGTTGTTGGGTGTTGCGGCATCTATTATGTCTTTTAATCCTACCATAAATATTTTTTTAAAAAAAGGAGTCCTACCATAATTGTTATTTTTTAATTTAGGATGCATATCAGATTTTAATTCTTACCCGTAATTAGCCTAATTGCATATTGTCTTAACTGCCCCTCTAATCATTAATTAAGATTGTCTAATATTTTTATTCCCTTAAATCAAATCAGTTAATCTACTCAAATCCTATGGCCCATATTTGTCCACACGTTTATATTTTAAGGGGGTTTGCATGTGAATGCAACCCTATATATATATATATAAATATATATATATATATATATATATATATATATATATATATATATATATATATATATATATATATATATATATATATATATATGGGTGTCCATTATGGGGTAAATCAACCAGAATGAGTTTACTCGATTGAGCTTCAACTATATATCTTTATATACCATTTAATTTCTGAATAAAGTAGAGATTAGCTAGAGATCGAAGAGGATGACAATAGCAATAAATTACCTTGGCATCCATCAAGCAAGAATGGGTTTCCTCGATAACCTGTACGACATTTACACACATATCTTGTACCGCGAACAGGTGAGTTGACGCAGTCAGCATTGGGGCCACATATCTTCTCTTTTGCGTCAACACAATTGAGATTTCCAATTGACCACTCATATACATTCGGGACATGAAACCCAAGTACAGGGCTGCAGTCATCGAATTGAAGCTCATTAAACTGGTCAAACCTCTTGTCAGCTATTATTGTTGGAAAAAATAGCTTAAAATGGCATAAAATGGCATGTTAAGTGGCTATTTTGTGGTACAATTATCAGTGGGGTCCACTTCCGATTTGGGTCGGGTTAAAGTGGATTCGGATTCTTCGTAGTGAGACGAAGAGATCGATATATTGTACGCTCAAAACGGATAATGGGTGAATGAGATATTGATTCTCAAAGTAGACCCATTTGAGTTGGAAAATGAAGGGAAAAAGTGAGCTTTTGTCCCACATTGCTTTGGAATGAAGATTTTCCCCCCTTATATACAAGAGCTCTTTTGAAGCTTGTAGAATTGTATAGCATAGAGGCTCTCTCGCGGGGGGGGGGGGGGGTGCAAATCAAATTCCAACTAGCAGAGATTGAAAAAGGCTTGATTCAAGCCCGAGCTCGTGTGCGCCGGCACCTGGGGGCACGAATGTCGTCCGGAAATTGGCTGGCCTTGCGGGCTAAGTTATGCAAAACTTCGGTATCATTTTCCCCACTTGGTTCGGGTTCGGCCAGAACCGAACTGAGAGCACACCTACTCTCGTGCTACAAGAGAGCACAACTCTCGTGCAACAGAGTCCACGAAAGGTGCAACAGGGCCGAAACTGGATGAGGTCGAAAGTTGAGACCGAACCCTGTACGCTAACGGTCAGGAACCCAAAAGTTCTGACTGTTGAGAGGATTGAATTCATCTGTTACGGAATTAATTGTCTATTAATTCCAATTTTGAATTCTGAATTCAATTCCCAGGTAGTGGCCTGCTGTTATAGCTGTTGGGAGGCAGCTTTAATGTCATTTTTAATTGCCATAATAAAGGCTATTGGCTCCTTCAACCCTATATAAGAGAGGGTAGAGGCAGTAGAGTTTTACACATAGCTTTACACAGCACGAAAGTATACTTTTCCAGCTTCAAAAATCTCTGCTTCTACTCTTCCTTTAGCTATACTGTGTTCATAGCCATTGTCTTGCTTGCCGGATCCTTTGTTTGAATGCTCAAACATTGGATCATAGCAAGTTTTATCCTGGGAAGCCTAGGCCACAACGCTCCTAGCATCTGCGGGAGGTGGCAAATAAGGTTTTAAGGAAAGAGTGCACACTTGACTCTTGCAAAAACCCAACACCAAACACTAGCCAATTTTCTTCAAATTTTCTTCCCTTCTTTCCAGAAAATAATAGTCAATTTTTTATTTGATTATTATTTGTTTTCTACCAACGGCTCCTACAATTATCATATGGCTACAAATGTTGCGAGTCCAAACACTATTATTTGTATTCATGGTCAGAGCTTGAAATACAACACCTCGTCCAATCTCTTTTTGGAAGGGTTCTTGACAGCAACCATAGCCTGAACACGATAAGAAATGGGGATTGGATGTATAGTGGATGTTGCTACTATTACAAAAAGTTGAACACGAAGCTATGATACCGCCAGCTCTGGGTTCCTTCATGACTGCTAACGTATCACAACCTACTGCTATGAGCTTATTCTTGGTTCGTGACAAACGCATATACATCTGCTTCCCAGTTCCGAGCGCAGGGTCAGAGCCCAACACTTTACCGTACGTGGAGTTGTACTTGACGGGAATCAATAAAGTGGACCAGAAAGTGAAGCTGTCTTATGAGAATTTAGAAATGGGAACATCATAGTATGTCAGCATGGCAACCAGGGAAGTGTTGCACCCCACTCTGAATTCTTTTTTCAGATAGCTCTCCAATACCAAATGGATAGGGAATTGTCAAACTCCCGCATTTTTCTTGGCAGCCCTGCTTTGCCATTCCACCAGTGCCTGTAGCTTGCTCAAAAGTGGAGGTGGAGCAGCTGATAATCAGCATAAATATGAATAAGAGGTTAGCTGCCATATTCCCGACTAAAATGACGAGATGGATATTTGTTAAAATAGCTTTAGGAGAATAATTGGATGAAGGATATATAATTGTTGAAGAACGTAACTAACAATGGTATATATAGGCAAAGGTAATCAAGGATGCAAGTTGGAAATGAAGTGATAATGGCATGGGACTAGAAAATGAACTGAAATCTGATCCAGTAGTAATAGTAATAATAAATATGATGAGAATATGAGAATTCAAAGATGGTGGATGGCTTGAGAATATGAATCAAGCATGGAGTTATATAGTATGTGATCTATCTAATCTCAATGCTTCCGGATACTTTTCAACAACCCTAAACAATAATTAAGCTAGCATTAATTAATTAATTAATTATATTTAACACTATTCCGATTTCACGGTCCAAAGAATTACTTACTTTGAGCTGGCCGGTAAGAATAGAATCGTTCATCTCGCTTTAGCTAAAAAGTAAATATATTGCAAATTGGGATAATTTCACCTGTCCCTTCATGTTTAAATTTTTTTGTGTAAAAAAATAAATGAAAAAGAAAATACAATGCCCCCCTTCCCACCAAATTAAAACTAGCCGCAATGCATCCGGATGTTGCTTAACAGCTCAGGCTTCGGTAACCTTTGCTAATTCATATGCACCTAAACCATGGCGAATAATTTTACTTAACTTTTTAGATTTTAATTAATAATACATACAATTTTGACAAAAGGAACCCAATAATATTTCTATATGGGAAATTCTATTTGCACTTGGTAGGGAATATCCCGACCGACATAATTTTTCCCTGGTTGGTGTGCCTTTATCTTTTCTTCTTGTCTTTGCAGGTAACAGGCCGGGCTTCTTGTGAAGAACCCGGTCGGGGTCCGACCGGGAGTTGCCCGAGCGGCAGTGTCAATCACCGAGCGGTAGCCCTTTGGCGAAAGAGCTGACAAAGGACACGTGGCGGCTCCTTGCGACGACAGACAGGGCACCCGGGAGGATGACACGTGGTGGCTACGTGGAGAGCATGCC